GTAAGGAGTTCTGCAAGGTACCAAGGCTATGATGGCTCTGTAAAGGGGTTTCCCTGGATTGCCTTGAAGAGGCCAAGTGCTTCCTTATGGTCCAGAATCAGCACATCAGACACTCCTCTCACATCAGTGAGAGAGACTCCCATCTACTGTGTGAGAGATTTTCCTGATTGGTATATCTCCAAGGAATGTAATGGGAAACAATGGATCAACAATAAAGCTGTTGAACTTGTCCTCCATATTTTCAATTAGCAAACATAAACAAAAAATGATCAAATATATGTAAACTATGCTTAGACTATTAATTGTTTTGCCTTTTATAAAGCTTCAGCTTTAATGACTCAGCTCTTTTCACTAATATTCTAAGATAAATTAATAATAACACGTTTTAATAACAATATTGTAATATACAATAAAATTAGTTTTGACCTGGGGATTAAAAGTAGGTCTCAGTAATCCAGGGCAAGTTTTGCAGTGGGTTTGATGAAGAACTAAAATATTTGTCAGCACACACTTGTGCAAGATAATCTGCAGTGCACCCCGCCAGAGCTTTCATGCAGCAGTTCAGCTGCGAGTTACATGAAGAGACATTTGTGAGAAAAAGGCAAGCAGCAGAGTTAAGAGATGAGCTGCTCAGGGATCAGTGCCACAACAGAGCACAGTGGCACTTGGACTGCTGGTTCTCTGTAATTGTACCCACTCCGAGTGAGGGCAAGAACGTGGAACAGCCATCAGATGGCAACAACTTCAGATTGCTTCCTGTCCCTCCTGCCTCTGACCCAGTGACCTAAAACAATCCACAGAACATACAGGCAGATTTAGCACAGTTCAAAGCAAGTACAGCCCTTGCTTCCCACGCCAGTGTGCTTTTTAGGTGAACTGAGGATGACAAATCCTTCCCTTGGAAGGAACCTGTTTCTGAGAGCAGCCTGTGTTGGACAGCTCTTGCACAGCGCCATGGCAGGGAAACATCACCTGTGCACATCATGGAACAGAAACACCTTGCTCCAGAACATTCACGAGTTGTTTCTTTAGAAGAGCAATGAAGACTGATCTTGATGACATGTCTGCATCTTCGTTCAAAAGACCTTAAAAGATTTACCTGTATTAGGTAAATCTTCTAAAAATAGTGTTATATTAGAAGTTGTTTATATACTTTTGGAAATTTCTTAGGTGCTGATAAACCATAGTTATTGAAATCCAGCAACTTCGTTTTGACACTGCCTTCTACATGTATTTTTCTGTTCCCATAAATTCTAAATATGAAATTTGAATTTTAGAGGCGTGTTTGGCATATATTCTTTCCTATAAATATAAATGAAAGTCTGGATTTTAAGAGAGAAATTCAATATCATAAAACCAGAGAATGGTTTGGAAGGGACCTTAAAAAATATCCAGTTCCAATCTCCCCAAATTTAACTATTTTGTACTTAACAGGATTGTCTCTACCATACACAAACAAAAAAGGAATTAAAATGTTATTTAACCTGAATTTTCTTCCTTTTCCCATAACTGATTATAAAGGAGACAGCTACTACTTATTTTCTCCACCACACAGGCTCTTTTTTACATCAGACACTATCAGTTTTGCTTCAACAGAAGCAGCAAGCAAACCACTCATAAAACTGCCTTCCTGCCAGTGACATCATCGTCTAACATAACCTATGCTGGGAAGGGTGTCCTTTGCTTAGGTTGATAAAAGACATCTACAGGATTGTGTAAAATAACTATACATTGACATGTACAAGGATAGACACAAAGAAAAAAAAAAAAAAAAAGAAAGTTGACCGATTCCTGAAGGTTATTACCTACTTTAAAACTCAAAGGTGAGAAAGAAGGGGCAGAGACTTGGTGGACTATGACACAAGAGCAAGCAAATTCTGCTATTAGCAGCAGAAACTGTTCATTTGACACAGTGATGATAGACTGATTCCAGAGTGACAGTTGTTATCCAGCCACCAGAAGGAATTGCCATTCTGCTAAGTAATATCTTGAGTATGAACAAATTTCCATAAGAATAAAATTTTCAAATGTGTATTCAAGCATAAAATAGCTTGGATAAAATATTAATCCTAGAGGTGAAAAGTGCTTCCTAAGCTCTTTTCACAGGGAATCACCTCTCTGCAGGTGGGCAACATACATAAATCTGTGTAATGTGTTATTTATTTTTACCACAGACACTGTCTAAGCGGGTGATTGGAATTCATGCAAATATCCAAGCAGGAAAGCTAGCAGTTCATAGTGTGCATTATAAGCAGTTGCTGCTTTCCTCTCTGCTTCACCAGGAAGACAGAATATTTCTAAGGCTTGATTTGCAGCAGTACAAAGATTATGTTACAGTAATATAAAATAACACCATGTCTACTCTCTCCATCTATGGAAAGAAAATATAGAGTCATTAACTCAGTCATCATAACACACCTGCAAAATTATTTATGAAGATTGCATTTTTAAAGAAAAGAATACTGCACAGCAATAGATATCATATGGAGCTAACACCTACTTGGTGGCTCCATGCTCACTTGCTATCAACTCCAACATATTAATTTAATCAGTGCAGAACGGCTCTCAAATACATAGGGTCAGCTCCTCCCAACTTTTAGGGACAGAAAATACTAAAGAGAAGTGACATAGTGCACCGGAATATCTAATGAGCAGATCACACAGAATCAATTAGGTTGGAAGAGCCCTCTGAGATGATGTGGTTGTTCACCACCTAAAAAGCACACAAGCAGTGCTATAGTTGAAGAGGCAGAAAAAGGAAGACCAGGGAATAGCTTGAATGTGTGCAAGTCTGCTTTACACACATTCTTAGAAAATACTCATCCTGTAAGCACAGGGTCAGGAATCTGTCTCCCACCTGGAATAACTCTCAAGAAGGGGAATGCTGGATTACAAACCCTCCCTTTGCTGAGGCTAACACCAAAGGACTAGTCTACATTTCAATTACACACAATTACAGTTCCTCCATCAGCCCACCAGGAAGTTACTTGCAGGAAGCTCTGCAAAGCGATTGCTGAGGAAATCCTTCACATGTCCATGACACAATCAAAACAAAGGGTGTGGAGCAACATTTCTCTTCATTACAGGTGCTACTTCAGTTCTAGGAAATTACGTTTAGCCTGCCATGTAGTTTGAAAACTTAAGTCCAACATCAATTTTGGAATAGAGTCTTCAGCCCAAACTAGTGCAGATTCCAGAGTACACTGAGCACGTGCGCCTAAAACCCAATATTTCATATATACAAAGCTAAAATGTGCATAATCTCCAGTAACTTCGTTTTTTTGAAGCTTACCGCAAATAAAAGTAAGTATTTGGAACTCAACATGCTGAAGACAGTATCAGTCTTTTTCCTACTACCCAAACAGCTGCCTGGCTAACTTGCAAGACACTCTTTTACCCACAGCAGCTCTCAAATTTTACATTTTGAGATGGTATTTCAACCAACTAGAACTACTGAGATATTGATAAGGTTTCAAAGACAACACACTGGTCTTCTGAGCTGATACAGGGAGTGAACAAGGATTTCCTACTAAAAGACCGACCCCATCTTACTGCTGTAAAGCAACTGTCAAATCTAATAGCATTATGAGAAAGAAGGTATTAAAGTTATAATCAAACCCGTTATATGATTTAATGTGTAACAGAGCCAACAATGCTAAAGCTGTATTAGTAGCAGTAGTAGCCTTTTTTCCTGACACAGAGGTATTCCAGGCCATGGTAAAATACAAATCATAGGTAAATAGAGCACATTTATATAAATATTCCTACAGGTAGTTCAAAGAGTCCAGAGCTGAAGGTTTAAGAGGGCATTAAAACTGTAGAGAAGAAATGGGGGATATTAAAAACAAAAAAAAAAAATAGGGAAGGTAGCAAAAAATATTTCACTAGAACACGGAACTTTTTGCCTGCAGATTACTTATCAAAACGTCTTAGGAAGGTACCTGAGACAAAAATCAGTTGTCAACAGGCTCTGAATTGCTACATGGAGGTCAAAAGCCTCCTGCAAAATTCCTGTGGTATAGAGAGTTGGGAAGGTCAAACCCCTCTAACATTTTCCTTGTTAAAAAAAAGAAACAAACAACCACAGCATTTCTTTAGTAAAGGAATTTAATTCTAATTGTGTGACAATATGCAGAGCAATAATTAAGAAATCCTAGTTTCCAAGCAACCCCCTATGCTAGAAGAGACTGAAAAGATTCTAAAAAAAAAAATAAAAAAAAAATCAGCCAACAGTACCATCACCAAATATAATTAAGCTAAATAGTTCCAAAATGAGAAAACCCTCTGGAAAATGAAAAAGGTAGTTATCAGAATTGCAAAAGTAATTTTTAACTAAGGAAAATGTTTACATATGAGGCTTCCAGCAACAAAAGTATGTCAACAGGAACAGTAAAATTTTACACATAGGCAGCTGTAAAAAAAGAGCACTCTCTAGAAAAACAGACTTCCATCATTATTCTAGACAATTTACAGAGGAAACTGCCCTCCAAATGACTGTTTTGTTGATTCCTGTGTGGCACTCAGATTTTCATTGTAGAAGGAGAACTCTCTGTAAACTGTCATTAAAAAGGCATGCAAGCTCAGATCCCAAAATACAGCTGGTAACATTTGAAGGCCCCCACCAGAACAGTGAGTTGAAGACATGTTGCTACAGGATTCTCCAAGTTCAGATGCTTTGTAAAATTCTAGAACTTCCATTATATATGTACATTAGCTTCTCTTCTGCAGAAAGGTTTGAAAGATTGCTCAGATCTTACAGGCACTTCCTAACTGCAACACACCCACATCCCCACTGCAGAAGAAAGTGTTCCTCATGGGATAAAAGTATCCTAAAGGAAAATAACTTTTCAGAATTATTGGTTTATTCCATTACATTGCATATATTCAAATATCCTTGGGGAATGGGCTACTTCCAATACCATCTGTCCAATGCCAAGGGCTCTTTAGCAATAGTTTATATGGCAAAAGCATTATAGTTCAGGAGATTACATTTTATTTACCTTGATGAGTCATTGTGACAGGTTCATCACTGGATATATTGTTGTAAATGACCACAGCTGTGGCATTATGAGAAGCTGCTCGCAGTATTTTCTCTTTAAATGTACAGTTTCCTCTCTGTAGTAAAGCAATCCACTGCTTGGTATTTGGTGGGACCTGGAAACGTGTTCGAGGGTCACAGCCCAGACGATCTGCAACTGAAATGGGAAACAAATTTACACAGGCACCAATTTCTTTTAACAGGCAGAACAAAAAAAAAAAAAAAAAGAAAAATCCTAATTCCAAGTTGCTGAAGTACTTAAATGTTATGCACTAGGAAGCCACTATTATCTTGTGAAGAAAGCCTAAAGATAACTGTATTCTGCTGAAAAAAAGATTTTAAAAAAAGAAGCCTCACTCATTGAAAGCTGTGACTACATGCCCAAGAATTAGGCTCACTAACACAAGCTATTTTTAACTCCAGTGCAGCTAGAATAATGAATTCACATTCAAATCAATACCTGCCTAGAGGCCAAAAAACATTAGAATATGGTTCATCTGCTATAGGCATTTACAAAACAGCTGTTTATCAGTCATTCTGGGGAGTACAAGCCTTTTTCTTCTTCCTCATGCAGCCATAAATATCACTGCAGTGGGAAGTACAACTAAACAAAGCAGGTTGTGAAAACAAGATTTCAGAGTTATCTGCCATGTGCAGGCTACTGTAAAGAAGTACAATATTAAAAGCTGATTTTGTAAAACCCCAGCAGTCAACATCAGCTTTTTATATATGCACATTTTGTCTACAAGGAAATGTATTCAAATTCACAGAGAAACGAACGGGTTTGCAAACACAATGCACTTGTCAGCTAAAAAGGTATAGATGGTATAAAGGAAGAGTAACAGAAATGGCAAATGCCAGATGTCTGAATTCAACAGTGTGCAAAGCTCTTTTGTCCCTTATGATGGTGTAACATATCCTGGAACAACCCAAAGCCACAGAGCTGTGTACAACAGGCACAAAACCCAAGGCAGAAGTAATTTCACAGCAGCTGAAACCGATGAAAGACAGATCTGTTTGCACAACTGCAAACACAGTTTAGTCTGATACACTGGTCATATCATTAAAGGAATTTATAAATTTAGAGCCAACAACAGTTTATAATGCAAATATATTTATCCTTTCGAATGCCAAGAGTATAATAATCTTTGGCTACTAAAAATAGTTGGAATAAACAGTGATTTTTTCAAGGCATAAAAGACCAATTTATTTGCACAATAGCTCAGAAAACCCTACAGTTCTGCAATGTAAGATCAAATCAAATGAAGTCTCCCATAATTTTTTTCTTTTCAAGAAGTGAGTTCAGCACAACTATGAGAATTCGGCAAAAAATCTACCACCAATAAAATATCCAGTTTGACCTATTAGCTGGAAACAAAACAAAAGGTCTTTTTAAGCAATCTCAGCTTAACATAGCTGAAGTTAAAACCTGTAACAAAGGAGATTCGAAGAGCTAAAGATGTTTCCTGAAACAAGAAAATCTTCTGCTTGTCTAAAGAAAGCTGGTGCAGATGAATCTATACTGTGGCAGACATACAGGAAATTGTTGCATCTCTTAATTTGGACAAGAAGTGCCTCTCCCTGTTCCCCTGGAAGGAGGGTGGGGAGCCAGATACCAGCACATCCTTTTCACAATTGTTTTCAAGCCTGTATTAGATATCTCAGACATAGAGGGCTATTTTCTATATTTTTTCTTTCATACAAACATCAGGGAAAATCTGAAATACGGATGCTTGAAGCCAAACTTTATAGAGTGCTTTCTTCCATTACCCTGACATCATTACTGGAATCCCTGTGGAAATTGCCAGCTAGCACTGATCCACTGGTGATGGCCATCAAACATCAACAACCACAGAAGAGCATGTTCATGCCCACTGCACTTCTGCAGCTTGTCTTTGTAATCTTAAATTTGAGAACAGTATGTATTTTTAAAAGGAATTACAGTCCTTTTTGAAAAAGTGGAAGAATCACAAGACAGCACATATGCCACCAACCTTTTTGCCCCCTGTGTTAAGATAAAAGCTGATTTTTGCCCTTTGTTAAGATAAAAGCTGCATGATTCCCTCTTGTTCTGAATATGTCCACTCAAAAACATGGAAGGGGAAAAGCACCAGCAGACTGTGATAGGAAGTTTCTCAAGCCTTGAAAGCTAAAAATCCCATCCTTCTCCCATGAAATCATATTCCAGAATCTCAGGGATGATACATCTGTTGGAAAATACCATTTTGTAAATGGCTGCAATTCCACAGAATACCCTCAAACAGCCAAAAATAGATCTGAAAGTAGATACTATGGCCAACATAAATTTATCTAAAATATATGGGATTATTAAAAACAGTAATCTTACAGATTGTGTACTGTTTCCTTCAGTACAATCATGATCAAAACTATAATATGAAGTGAAAACAAAAATGGCTACGAGAACAAAGTAATGGGTTATTACAGTGAAAAACCATAAAAGCATGAGGAGGCAGCATTCTCAAAATTTATGTAGGCACCTTGAAATTTTATGCTTGAAAAATTTTAGTTTAAAAAGCAACAGAAAAAGCAGTAAGAGATAACAGAAACTGCATCTGTGGGAAAAGTAGTACAAAATTCTCTACCACAGTAGAGATCAAAGTCTCTCTCAGCTGTGGACAGAGCTATGAAATGTTACTGGATAAAGCAACAGAATTAGGAAACAAGATATTAAGAGATTAAAGCTTTCCAGATATAGACCAACAAACACCACTCAAATGCTTACAGCATGTTATTCCTGACGAGGTGTATTCAGCATATCCTGATGAAAATTTAACAGCTGACAACATTAGCTCAGTACTATTTAAGTAATATAAAAACATTGAGGAATATCTGGTTGGTTTAGATAAATCTAAACTGTCTGCAAGTCACTTGAGATTTAATAAAAAGTCACAACCCACTTTTCTTTGCATTAGCATTCTATTGCACCACACAAATGTTAAGTAATCTTTTTGTTTCTAACTAAATAAAATTCAGAAACAACAGTGAAAAACGTGGGGTGTTCTGCTTGTTTTTTCAACAGACTGAAGATACTCTGAAAAGCGTGGAAGTCTTAAAATCACAGTCACCCTCTTAGAATACTGAGATGGTGACAATAAAACACCTCCTGTACAGCTCAGGTGTCAGGGATATCAGTGGGCACTGAAGGGGACACACATGAAGAGGGTCAGCCACGATCATCATTCACACTCTCCACGACCCTGTCATCTATGATCTGCTATCCAAAGTTCAACTAGAATCAACACCACATGGGTTGCAAGCATTAACTGGATAATCATAGAACTGTTTGGGTTGGAAAAGACCTCTAAGATCATTGATTCCAATCATTCATCTGGCACTGTTGTGTTCACCACGAAACCATGTTCCTGAGTACCACATCTACAAGTCTTTTAAATCCCTCTAGATATGGTGACTCTACCACTGCCCTGGGCAGTCTGGTTCAGTGCTTGACAGTCCTTCCAGTGATGAAATTTTTCCTAATATCGAATTTAACTCTGCCAGGCACAGCTTGAGGCAGTGTCCTCTCATTGTGCCACTTGCTACCTAGGAGAAGAGGCTTAACACCACCTGGCTCCACTCTCCTGTTAGGGAGCTTTAGACAGCAAGAAGGTGTTCCCCGAGCCTCCTTTTCTCCAGCTCCCTCAGCCTTTCCTCATCAGACCTGTGCTTCAGCCCCTTTCCCAGCTCCTTTGTCCTTCTCTGGACATGTTCCACTATCTCAAAGTCTTTCTTGTAGTAAGGGGCCCAAAACTGATGTTACTTGCCAGAATGAAAATAAACTTCACATGAAATTATTCTAAAACAAATCACTTGCACAGAAAAATATATGATCAGAAGCCACTCATGGAAATTCAGAAGATATAAGCATACAGAAAGCCATTTAAGTAAGTTTCCCTATAGGTGTACTACTCTTCTGGCTTACTTGAAATATAAGCTATTTACCCTGTCTGTCTCCAGGTTTATCTATGCATCATGTGTTGGCAAAAGCCCCAATTTTCTGTTAGAAGTGGAAGCCCGCTGGGTTAAAGAGCTATGTACAGTGTTGTTGTAAACATCTCCCTTCCTACCATAAGTCCCAACACCACAGAAGAGCCTCTTTACTGAAGAATCAGCTGTGATTTAAGTACCTACCATAAGGCTCATGTTTGTTTTCTGCTTTAGGAGAGCTTCAGTTTCCTTTTGCAGAATACATGAGGCTGCTCAATTTGTATAACTGTTTTCCTTGAGCATTTTTTGTAATTCAAGACCCCTTTCTGCTGAAGGATTAAGGTTTGTGACAGCATTTTAGGGATTCATGGGAAAAAAGTAGTTAATAATGCAACAGATTCAACCAAGGTTCCTCGACTACTGAAGAAGTAAATGCAAGCTCACATCAGCACAGCAACAGCACTTTCCTCCTTTTCCAATTGCCTGACCATGTTTTAGCCCTCTACCTGTAAGAAGGAGAGCCATTTTGTGGAGCAAAAATAAAATGAAAAGGGCAGCTCCCAGCAGCTTTGTCAGAAGTGCACACCTGTCTGAATGCAGATTGTTCCCTGGTTCTGAACTGTGGCTGGGTTTGCTTTTTCTCACACTATGTGTTCCTGCTGCTCTTGCATCGCTTGGAAGGCAAGTGTGACACCCCTCTTCAGCCACGGTTGCTGCACTGGCTGTTATCAGACTGTCCCCTTTTCACAGAAATATCCCACTCTCTGAGCAATAACCATTTTATTCTATGTAGGGTTTTTTTTTCCTCTTCCTTTTTTTTTTTCTCTCTCTAAAGGTCAGATATCTTGCTATTGATTTCATCTTTGCTAATACTGTACTCTGTAAAGCCAGCACCAGTTGCCAGAGCTGGTCTGTCTCAGCTACACATACAGAAATCATTTTAAAGTCTGACCTTCAGTCACTGTAATACAATAGCTGGAGAGACACCACTAGTATTTTGAGGGACAGCAGATCAGGAGGCTTGGTGGGAAAGAAACTACAGAGGAACACAGGAAGATTCAGTGCCATGCATGCTGCACCCCAAAGTGTTTCCTCCCTACAGTTCTGCTGCCCAGGTAGGTGCTATGTAGAAAACCTGACTGGTAAAATAAGACAGCTTTGTGCAACACATTAATTATAATCCTAGAATTCAGCTGGGAAATTCACAGAGGCAACTCAGCAGTGCTGATTGATTATTTCAAGGAATGGTATTAGTTATTTTCTATCCCATTAGGGCTTAACACATGCAATGGACATATTTTCTTTCAATGCATTACTACTTGTGTTATTATCAATACAGCCCTTATTCAAGCCAGTCATAATTGCTGTTTTACAAGGTGGTGCCAATGAACCAATGAGTTATGTACAGCAATGTTTTATTTTCAATAGCTCTTTCAGGTAATTGCTTTGACTAAAGCTGGCTTTAGCACGAAAAGAAACTCTTTGAACAAGAGGTAATCTGGTTTCAGGGAGGAAGTTAAACAAAAGAAAATCACTGAAGCTTAGAAGAGTCCTGTAATAGTTCAGATTTAATCTTGTTAGCTCAGTAAGTAGCCTACAATTATGGCTATATACTCCAATATATGACCTCCACTTTTGCTATCAATTAATGATTACTAATTAAGCTGAATACAAAGATCAATGACAAAGGACAAAAGCATGGCACAAGATTCTTCCTCCCCTATTCTCCTGATACATTTGCTTGTCACATTTTCCTAAGCCTTACTGGTTTGGATTCTGGGCCAGAATTTCTGTCTGAATGCTGCCTAAAGCTCTGCAGTTACCAGGAAACTGGCATTTCAAACCTTCTGCAGCTAAAACTTGTTCACACAACATATTTATGAAGTGCCAGATGCTACAAAATGCTGTAGTTACAGCACTATGCACAAGACATACCTCCTTCCTAACACTGAGCCAATATTGTTTCTTCCACACTTTCACCTTTTTCTACCATATGTTTTTCCTCACATTCTCAGTGTCTCCTTGCTCAGCCTCAACCCTTATAACTTTGGGAGAGCTCTCCTTTCTATGAGCTCCAAAGCAGCTTTCATATAACCACCACATCCCTACAAGCTCGTGAGACTCCATCCCTTTCCACCCCTCCTCATCCCCTCGTTCCTGACCTACTGGCTCAGTGAATTTTAACATTTCAAGTTTGATTCTGCTGCTATTTCCCTCCTGTCAGCCCCATCACCAGTCCTGGTCGTCCTGCCTGCTTCCCAAGCCAGCCAAGGTGCACAAAACCTTATCTCCCAGTAAGCCCTGCAAGGGGACTCTTAAGAGCACACAAGACTGAATTTCCAGTCCTCACACTGGAATCCAAGCATAGAAAAAAGAAATAATCCAGATTCAACAGCCACAGAGAGTCCCGTTCCCTATGGAGAATGTGTTTGAGGGAACCAAGCCACAAAACATTGCAGTTTCTAGAACCATTAAGGTGAGTATTCAGTGGCCTCTAGCTTGGTTTGCCATGGCAAGGGGAATATGCCTGACACCTAAAGGTCTGCACCACTACTGGTGTCAGACACCCAACACCAAAGAAGAATAAAAGCACAGGTCATTGGAATGGCACAGGGCTGAACACTTGCACAGTGGGTGCACAGACATCCAGGAGCAGCCAGGCAGCTGCTGTGACAGGACTGGGCTCAAGTGACCTGGAAGTGTTCAAGGCTAGGCTGGACGAGGCTTCAGCCAGCCTGGCCTAGGTGTGTGTCCCTTCCCAAGACAGGGGGCTTGGAACTAGACAATCTTTAAGGTCCTTTCCAACCCAAACCACTCTGATTCTATGAAAATGTCTGATTGCAGAAAATCACAACAGATTAAGGGACTGAGAAGAATTCTGGAATCTCATTGAAGGAATACTATAAACCTGAACTAAACTATCAGAAAATCTGCATCAAATGTGAAGACACATTTCACTTCTATCCTTCCATGCACAAGAGGAGCTTTTTTTTTTTTTTTAATTTGCAAGCATTCATGTCCAGAAGTAGTTTAAAACACTTAAGAAATTAAGTCATGACAAGAGATTAACCAGTTAGAGGAGGTAAGAAAAGGAACTCAAAGTAGAAGAACGGAAGAGAGATTAATAAAGTAACTGTTGCTATCGTGCATTTAGTGTGCTTGGAAAAATATGCCCACACAGGTGCTGAATGTACACCTAGCAGCCAACTGTGACCAAGAGCTCGCTGGAGCTGCACTTTCACAAGTCACATTCACAGGCGGTCATGCCAATTACAGCCACCTTACTCCCAGGGGAACACTGCCTTTGAAAGCCCCTATCAATTTCACACAAGCTCTATAAAAAGAAGACGGGAAGAGTTTTAATACATGTATTAACATGACAAGGTTGAATTCTGTCAAAGAATTCAAAAGAAATCCTGCTAAAGAAATGGGAGAAGTGACTGACTGTCATGCTGCACTGAGATTTAAAGAATGGATGATCACATGGGACTGGCATCTTCAAAAAGCAGTATAAAAAATATTGGGCATATTCAAGAAGTCAAAATAACATCACAGACAAGTTAAAACTACAAATGGTGTGTGGTTAGCAGAAGATCATTGGCTCTAAATCTTGAATTAGTAAACTCATTTATTTCCCTGCAGGCAATGAAGAAGAGATGTGATAAGATGCCCCATTCCTGGAAGTGTTCAAAGCCAGGCTGATTGGGGCTTTGGGCAGCGTGGTCTAGTGGAAAGCATCCCTGCCCATGGCAGGGGATTGGAACTTCATGATCTTCAACATCCCTTCCAACCCAAGCCATTCTGTGATTCTTCACAGAGCATGCAAAAATACGAAATTAAGGACACTTCAGCTCTAAAACAGTCCATGCCATCAAGGTGCTAACAGATCACCCACATTTGTGAAAATTTCAAAGATAGCCCAAAAATGGGTGAATGCTTGTCATCAAAGCAGTTTCAAATTCAAAGTACCTTCAAATAAAGTTGTTAACAACTGTACAGTACTTTTCTTCTGAGGATACATGAAAACTGGGATACAGCATTTACTGCTCTAAGAGCAGTGGCTGGCAGCTACTCATGTTTAGAACTATTAGAAGAAATATTGCAAACTAATTTAACACCAATATTAACAGGCTGATTAAAAAAACATTAGAGCAATTACTTTCAGCAAGACTGCATCATCTTTTATCGAATCTGAATATAAAAATACAGAAGATGTTCAAGAACAGTTTAACTAAAAGCGTAAAATATTCCAATCTTTCTTACTACAACATTTTTAAACCGCAGGCACATCAGCAAAATTCAAATAAAATGTTAGTATATCTAACAACCTACACAAAACAATTGAGTATCTAAAAGTAAGGAAGACAACTGCTGCTGTGCTTGCTTTAAGTTGTCTGTTATGAAACAGAAAAACAGAAAGGCAAAACTAAACTTCCCCCAAAATTGATAACAAAGTTTTAACAATTGCACTATATCAAACCATGCCAGGTCTGACATTTTCACAGTTCCTGCTGTGCTTTCTCAATGAAGTTACTCATCATAGTACTTAGCAGCAGGTATAAAAATGCTGTTTATAGACTGCTCATAATTTTATTTAGCTCTTCTCATTATCAGTTGTCTGTGAAAATGCTGTCAAAGCCTCCTTCAGTATTTAAATTGCACCTTAGTGAAGGCATATCAAAAGAAAGCAGGAAAAGTTACAGATGCAGATTAAAATAAATTAGTACCAAATGTTTTTCTTTACAAATAACACAGTCAAAAAAAAATTAAAGTGCTCTGATACCTTGCATGCAAAACCCGTTAAAACACTATTTGCAGTAATAGTGTTTACATGCCTAAAACTTTCAGGGCAGATTTCTGATTTCAAGGGGGGTGCGTGGGGATGTCTGTGAAGAGTATCAGGAAGCAGAAGAACGACTGCAACATATTTAGTGTTAGACAGGATTTGACATACAAATAAAAATCATTTTACAGCAGACTTCCTCAATAATTTCTATTTCCTCACCTTTCCACCCCAAAATCTACCCCATTAATACATTCTAGTTATATTTTGCAGAGCTAATGAAACTGAGCTCCAGTGAGACTGGCAAGCACCTGCTGATGCACAGCCTGATCCATCTGGACCAGAAGCTGACAGAGGCTGCCTAGAAGAATGCATTTGTTCTGAAGAAGCATCAAAGTATTTTCCTGATCTTAAGATTAGGCAAATTCTCTAAAGCTTCTAATAATACAGTAGTTCTGTGTTATCAATTCTTCTAAAACACTCTTAGTATTCATCGCTTAGACTCTAGTTTTAACTAACTACAATAATCACTCAATACATTATTCAGACGTTTACTGTCCAGGAGGCAGGTTGGAACCACTGTATTCCATCAACTGGCTCATTTCTTACAGATGGCAGTTTAGATTATGTCAAGACTGGTTTTCAAAATAAGATACTATAAAAACTACACCATTATTACTGAAGATACCGGTTTCACTACAGGCAAAAACCACAATACTCTCAGCTGTTCAAATTAGTGTTCTCTATAAACCCCAACACTTACCAAAAGAAGAACTGATGGACAACAGCTTCACTTCATTAAAAAAAAACTTATTTGGACACTATCCAGTGTTCAGTACTGCAAACAAGCACATTTTGGGCTGGCTATAAGAGCAACAACTTGGTAGCTTCAGTCCTTCCAAGTCTTGATGGGCAGCTTAAACAGCGTTTTTAAGACTTGCACTATGAAAAACTGTGACTTCATGCAGTTGCCAAAGCTATCCAGATGCACAGCGAGATGGCTATGCAGCTGTTCTGAGATTCATGGCAATGCTGTAACCAAATACTGTCAACTATCGCTACCCTCTCTGTAATTAGCTAAGGAATAACACCTTCACCGCTCAATACACCCAATCTACTGGGATCCATGCTGGAAAGCACATTATGCTTTGCTGAGCAACTATTCAAGCCAACACTCTCAGACCATAGATTTATTTTATTTTCCGCTTGGGTATGCTTTTCCTCCTCGTTTGTCAGAGCTCTCTAGGAAAGCCTGCCCAGCCCAGGCAAGGACCAACCACCCGGCAAGCGAGCGAGGGAAGCGTTACCTCCGTTGATGGGGACGGGAGTCACCAGCAGCCCCTTGACCTCCACCTTCGGGGAGTCCTGCCCGTAGCGGCCACGGTCGATCCGCAGCAGCGTGGGGCCGCCGCGCTCGGGGCTCAGCACCGTCACGTTGATGAGCGCGGTGTAGTACGCCTGGCTGGTATTGTCGGCGCCGGCCGGCCGGACCCGGCCGTGCCACAGCAGCAGCGGCAGCAGCAGCAGCACGGAGGAGCCGCCGTTCCAGTGCTGGCGAGCCCACCGCCAGCTCATCTTCGACCCCAGGCGAGCCGACGGCCGTCACCGGTTGCCTCCGCCACTCCCCCGCGGCAGCGCACGAGCCCCGCACGCCCGGGTGTGTCCTATCCCATCTGACAGCCCGGGAGCGAAGAGAGACCAAAAGCAGGCGGAGCGGGGAGGAGAGCTCAGGCTCATGCCATGGGAGGAGCCAGGGGAGTCATGGCAGGTCCCAGCCGAGTCCGATCCGCCGCCGCGGCTCCCAGGGGAGGCTGCTCGGGGAAAGCCGCGCTCCGTCGGTCCCTCAGAGCGCCACGCTCATACTGGCCGCCCGCCGCCGCGGGGGAGCTCCAGCCGGGCGAGGGGAGGGGAGGCGGCGGGGGCGGCGCCGGGGCCCCCTCCCCGCACAGCCCCTCGCCAGCCCAGGGGAGGCTGCTGGCAGAAGCCGCCGCCGCCGCCGCCGCCGCTGCCGCCTCAGTCGCGCTCGCAAACAGTCGCGGGGCTCGCCTCAGACTCGGCCCGCCGCGCCGCCTCGGGGCTTCTCGTCGCCTTAGTGTGGCAGGCGGCGCAGCTCAGTGCCCAGGCCGGCGTCCGCAGCCGGCAGCCATCGCTTCATGCCCGGTTCGCCTGGAGGGCGGCGGGACTCCCGCACCGTCCCGCAGCTCCGGCCACCGGCTCCGCGCCCGCGCCTCGACTGCAGCTCGGCGCTCGGCGCTCTGCGCAGGCGCAGCACGCCCCGCCCCGCGCCACGAGGGCGAGAGGCGGGGCTAGAGCCTGGACCACGCCCGCGGGGAGGCGGGACCAGCCCAAAGGGCGGGGCCATGGTGTATGATGTCATGGTGGGCGGGGCCAGGCGGTGGTGGGAGCTGGGGAGTGGGGGTGGCTGGGGTGACACCGGCCTTAAGTGCCTGCGGATCCATGAGCAGTTGGATCACAGCATCACAGAACCAGCTGGGTTGGCAAAGACTGCTAAGCTCATCGAGTCCAACCTGTGACCAAATACCACCATGTCAACTAGACCACAGCACTGAGTGCCACATTCAGTCTTTCCTTAACAGGGGCGGTAACTCCACCACCTCCTTGGGCAGTCCATTCCAATATCTAATCACCCTTCTGTGAAGAAAGTCTTCCTAATGTCCAACCTAAACCTTCTCAGGTGCAGCTTAAGATGTTGGGATACATACAGGCTCCCATGGCTCCTCAGCATCTTTTCAGAAAAATATTTCCAGTTCAGGAGTGATGATCGCCAAAAAGATACAAAGAAGGAGTTTTAAAGCATGTCAGAAATGTGGGGTGAAAGAGCTCTGTGTGTGAAAACCAAGTAGAATGTGTTCAGTCTGTCCAAGTAGAACTGAACGAGCTTTTGGGGCAGGAACAGCAAGCCTCTGTGTCAGGATTCAGTCATTCCTACTCTATTTGGCGTTACTCGCTTCTGACATACTAAAATGGGAAATTGTACAAACACTCAGATACTATTAATAAATATTAACACCAGGAAATACTGTAAAACAGAGTTTGATGAATGATCAACTAACATAGTTTTAAGGATTTCAGCCTCTTGGGAAATGTAACAAATGTAATGGCCTCCTTAGATTTTGAAAGGCAAACTAACTGAAAATTAGTTACAGCAAAGAGAACAATTACTGCAGGACTGTGAGTTAGGATATTTTCTAAGTTTCTGAAAAAATGTCTGTGGAGCTTTTGAGATATGGTCTCCTTGGTGACTTCCCCAGCTGCACAGGAAGGCCCTCAGATAAGCCTGGTGTTTAACCTATGCATTTTATTAATCTGTTTTCTTCTGTGAGCTTTTGTATTTTATTCATTTGTGATGCACCTGGTCACACACACATGTAAGATAACACCGTCGAAGCACAGTCTGTTCATTTCATTGAGATGCAAGTAGTTTTATCCTGCCCTCGGAGAGACCTGTTCCATTTCTGAGGAAAGCAGCATGCTTGCAAACCTGCATCTCAGAGCAGAAGGGACCTATGGATTCTGCTAAAGGCATGTTCTGTAAAATCCTCTGAGAAGCTGTTTCTGCAAAGCTCTGTAGAAATGTCAATACAATCCAGGAAATGATTCTGAAGCAGCAATTGAATGTTCTGCTAACATTTTTTTTTTAATTTAATTTTGCCCTTCTTGGTACATGCTGGGTGAGGAACCACATGCTATTGATTGCCTCCTCATTTCACCCAAACTTTCACCACAGCCGGAGGGCAAGAGCTGTGGCTGACACACTGCAGTGTGCAGAACATGTTTTGGAGCTGTTCTTGCTTTGATTTCTCAGCACTAAGAGCTCTGCATCATTCTGATGCAAACTCATGTGCTTTATTGCCGAAATGTCCTCAGAAAGGGCCAAGAAGTCCTGGGAGCCTGAAGGATTTTTCACTACCACTGTGCTGACCTTCAGAGAGGGATCTCAAAGCACTTTTGAAAAGCATTGAGGAAGCATTCACCAGCCATGCTAGAAGCAAAAAAAGGAGCCCAGCCAGAGCATCCCCAGTTCTTTGCAAACCACATGAAATTGCTGGTTTTTGTTTTGCCCTGTCTGGTTTCCTGTGGGCTGTGTTTCTGATGGAAAGAAGTGCTCCAATGCCTGTGTGAGGGCTGCCTCCTTGGTTCCATCCCCACCCCATTCCCATTCCCATTCCCATTCCCATTCCCATTCCCATTCCCATTCCCGCTCACATGGTTGAGAGACTGTTCCTCACCTGCCCCCCAGCCTGTCCTATGGTTGCCCTATGGATGGGCTGGAAGGAAGGCGAGGAGCAGCTAAGGGGGACCACTCGTGGCCCCAGAAGAGGAGCAGCCAAGCACTGCTCCAGGATGCGCCAAAATAGGATATTTCATCAGTAGAGCAGCTTCAATATCCTCATTCCCCAGATGGGCAGGCCTCTGGCTGGGGAGAGGAAAATTAAAAGGTCCTTTTGGATGCTTTCACCCCATGGTGGAGCTGGATGAAGGGATGGCGATGGAGAGGAGCGGAGATGCCCCCCTTCTGTCCCCTCAGCTCTGTCTCTGCCATTGACAGCTCCCCAGGGGACATTATTTTATTCAGACAAATGGTGCTGATGCCTTCACAGATCCTCCCAGGGGTAACGAGGGAGCTGTGCCTGAGCGTTCCTTGAACTCCTGGTAATTTTTTAATTTTTTTTTTTTTTTTTTAATTTTTTATTTTTTTTTTAGGGAAATGCTCATGGATCCACTTGCTTCCCGTTTCTCAGCGAACACCTCGTCCAGACACGGTGCCGCCGCTGCCTCGCTCCCGCCCTCGGCCTTGCTGTGACACAGCCACGGAACCGCCGCCATCTTCCCGCCGGGGCCCGCGCCCGCCGGGGGGAGGGCGCCACCTGCGGGCGGCGAGCGGCACCGCCAGGAGCTCCCACGGGACGGGGGTCGGTACCATGAGGAGAAGGGGAGCAGGCCCGGAATTTGGTGCCGTAAGGACAAGGGGGTCCGGTCCGGGGGGCCGGTGCCATGAGAAGGGGTATTGGGCGGGAATTTGGTGCTATAATGACAAGGGGGTCTGGTGGAAGGGGGTCGGTACCATGAGGAGAAGGGGAGTCCGGGGAGTGTTGTTGCCTTGAGAAAGGGCGTCCAGGAGGGGTTTGATTCCCTGAGGAGAAGGGGGGTCTGGGGGCCTCTGGTTCCCCTGGCGTGGTGAATGAGGACAGGAAAGCTGGAGACCTCCATGCTGAGACCCCTCCAGGGCCGAGGTGACGGGGAAGGGTCGTGTGTCCGGGCACAGGGCTGGGTGCTGTGTTTGCTTCTGCTAGCGAGCTTAGCCAAAGAGAATCTGACTTCACCGTGAGAAAAGACAGACTTTCATACTGGATGGAAACGCCACAAGATCAGCTGTTTCTGAGAGGATTCGGGGAAATGCAAATGGACACAAAAGTAAAAATAATAAACCCAAAATGTGCTGATGATTTGGGCCGGGGCTGGGCTGCCCCAGGGGCAGAGGTGGCCCCAGGAACCAGAGAGCAGCTGCCAGTTATGACTTTATTCATTCTCACATTTAGATATTACAACAAAACTCTTAATGACAAAGGATAACAAGTACTATAGGAGGAGAGGAAAGGAAGCAGTGTTCTAACTGGTTTGATATATAACTGTGAACTTCCAGAGACAAGACTCAATGTGAGTTACAATCACTCACATACGATCACTGGTAGGAAAACTCACGTGCAAATACCCGCACACTCACCCACAGCACACTCACACACACACACACAGACCATGCTTTGTACTCACACATAACCCCTGTTTTAGCCTACTTGCTTCAAAGGCAGCCCACTGAAACATTGAATGCTGCTAGAGCAAGAACAGGTACCAGATTAAAATATTGCAATATAAATGTAGTGTTACTTGATACACAGGTTTTTTTCTTCAGAGACACATGTATTTGCAAGTAGGAGACCCAACACTTTGTTTTCAGGAGGGAGGAATGTCCTCTCAACAATAACACTTTGTAAAGAAAAGTGAGACTGAGCATAAAGTGGAAGCAGCCATTTTAAAGGAAGGTGATGATGATAAATAGCTTAGCTTCAATGTTGAGTTCCAGTAAGAAGCCCAAACAAAACAAAACAGGGAGTGCATTTTGAACAGAGCAGGCACAAGTATTGAAACCTGGGTTTTAAACATTGAAATACTCCATTGCTGCTCTGGAAAGATAGACAGCACTCCTGTCTTACATCTTAAAACCTAAACAGACCAGCTTCATTTCATGCTTATCTGGAGACTGTAAAAATAAAAAGCCAGAAATAATTCAAGAGAATGGGAAGGGTTATCAGGTTTTCACATCTAATTTTAGTATACCTTTAGAGAGCAAAATTACAATTGTCTCAACAGCTCTTCAATATCCCACACTACAGTGGTTCTTCATCAGCAGGAGTGTCTGAAGAGGAACCAGCTTTTGCTCCTATCAGGCTGCATTGTTCATGCAATGCTGTTTACACAGACACAATAGGATCTGATTCCACCCCCCTATCTAGATGGTGAGAAAATAAACTTCTGTGCAGTTGAATGTTCAAAAATCAGGTGACGCAGAAGTGCTTTC